AAACCGTAAATGTCACACCACCGCCCTTCCCTCCGCCGTGGATTCTTCGAATGCATTTTTTTCTCGAACTTCCAGAAACTAGAAAAAATAGAATTCGACTCTCGGAGAAAAGCAATTCGTGAAATTGATTGTAATCGAGCTTTGGGGGACGTAGATGAAATGGAACGACGTCTAAGAGGCGCGAGATTACACTTTAGTGGGACCTTCGATCAAATTCACGGTAGATTATATCGATATATAAGTTTTAAGCGATTCACGGTTGGAAGTGGAATTTTTTTACTGTTGAAATAGTGCATACGAATGATTCGATGTTCGAGATGTTCGTGCGAATGGGAATTACGACCATCTGTGGTTGTCGGGGCGTGTTGGGGACACCAGACGTTACAGCGTTACTATTTATACCGGGCGTCTAATTCGTTCCTGCTTGCAGGAGGCTGACGAGACGGATTTGAGGTGTTTTCGATCAGCGACGACGGACGGACACGTCGACGTCGACGGAGAGTGGGTTTGTATCAGCTGCTCTCGCGTCTCGACGTTCATTAATTAGCGGGATACATCGGTGCCGGGGGATAATCTTCTTTTCGGTCCCGTGGATGGCACGCGAGTAGCATCCTGAATATATATTCTCTTTATGAAAATATTTTGACCTCCATCTCCCTCCCAAAACATTCATTACCCTCAAGTTCTTCATATCTCTATTTATAAACATTTTTTTTTTTTAATTTTTCAATTTTGTTCATATTTTCAAAAAGTATTTTTCTTTGAGGATCTCCGTGGACACTCGATTTTTCGATTCGGTTGGCTGGGACCGAGAGAGGAAGAGGGTGGAGATATTTGGCACCTCCTGTTTTCCGCAGGACTCTCGAAACCAGCTGGGAGTCGTAAGGTGCCGGTCAAGCAGTCCTCGTGACGCGAAGACGCGTATCGAGTGACACCACGTTTCCAAGGGTCGTCCTTTTGGCGATTTTTTTAGGTCAACTTTCACCTAATTTATGTTCCCTGGGATTTCCGGTCGGGATCTTTACCCTTGAGTCCACGAACACGTTCGTGACCAGTGAGAGGTTTCACAAGTTTCGTTCCGTTCGCCAACTTCCACTCGTCGAACGTTTTTGGAATATATTTTTCGTTCTATTCATAATAAGATAGTAAACAAATTATTCCGACAATGTTTCTTAAATCGTAGCTAAATTGTAATTAAGTCCTAGTTAAAATTTCAAGTTATATTTTTATGAGAAGACAAAGTATTTCATTATTATTCCCGCTAAGTACAATTAATTTACAGAATAATTATTTTGTCAGAAATAAATGGTTCGGGTGGAAAAACAGAGGAAGGAAATCATTTCTGAGCTTTTCAGTCGAAGAGTTCTTTCACAGGAGAAGAAGAAAGTACTCAAGAACGAGCCGATAGAAACGCGAAGCAGAAGCGTGACTCGATCGTGTGATTTTTAAAGAAGAAACGCGAGAAAACACGCGAAGACCAACGAACGCGTTAGAGGCGCGGAACCACTGTGGGGGAATTGTGTTCTCGATTCGTCGCGGTCGGAATCGATTCACCACGGTCGTCGTAGATTCCACAGTCGATTACGGGACTAATCGAAAAACAAGCGTGTTTATGCTTCAACAAGATCGTGAAAATCAAAGAAATAAACAAGTTTCGTGTCCAAGAGGAGACACCATAGTTCTCAGATAGAAATTAAAAATGTAAACATGACAGAATAGAACAGAAAATAAATTCACAATAAAAGAAATCTCAAGGAAAACGAAATCCCACCCGAAAGTGTTACATCTCTCTTCCCTCTATCTTTTCCACCATAGTACAAAATTAAACAAGCTTTGATATTCCCGTCAGGTTAAAAAAAAAAAAGTCCAGTAGCTCAACGGCCGCAAATCATCGGATCACAATGCCGGAATGGAGGATCACAAAGGTCCTTGTCCGTGGCACGAAAACGATCGAATAAATCAACAGGAGAGAAAAAAAAAGGGTTGGCGGCTTGACGCCACCCATTTCCCTGGTGGCTCGAATCGCGCTAATGGCGCCCTCCTCGATGAAATACGACCGATATAAGCCCTGGCGATCGTGCCTGCGTTTTTAAAGCGTCTCGTCTCGTACTTTGAATTAATGCCTCTATCGCGGGACCATTAGAAACGTTCTTTTCCCTCCGAGAGCCGTAAAGCGAATTCCTAGAGCGTTAGGTCGTTACACCGAGCAATTTCTTTGTAACCTTTCGGGAGAATTACGACTTTACGAGGGCCGCGTTCGGAATATTTCATTCCAAGTAGACGCTGTTTTCATGGTGTACTTTTAATTCGTATGGAAAGTAAAGAATTCGAAGAGTTTTTTTTTTTTTATATTTTCATATACCAAGATTCTTACCTATTCGTATTTTTATATATTTCTAGTTTACTAAAAGCAGTTTATTAAAGAAACATATCGAAAGCAATCCCAAACGGTGACTCTGAATAACATCTTCCCACCAACCCTCGCCTTTTCGTATCGCATATGTACTACACGCAGCAGATCGTCTGTAAAACAAAGTACAAACTGCACCCTGTCCTCTAAAAGAACAGCTCTAAACACCATGAAAACTCGTAACAAGACAACGAATAAACGAGATCGAGTTCTTCGTCCCCGATGATTTATCCGTGGTCTCGTACGTTCCCCGCTGGAGTAACAATTTGGAGCGGCGAGTAATCGATACGTCAATGATAGCCAGAGTAAAAATGGTGGAACGATTCGCGGTGTAAACATCGCAGCCACGTGTAATCATCGAATCGCATGATAGACGGTGGCAGAAGCGTGACAGAATTTCTACCGCCTAATAATAGGCGTAAGCCGAGTCCACAAGTCATCGCGATTAAACCAGTCATCGTTTCTTTCTAGAAATAACCGCGTCGTAACAGTGGCGACTGCCATGGAAAAGGGCTGCGCGGCATCACCGGTGTCACGGTTCATGGTGTCTCGCACGGGTTTCCTTGGCATTGGATGTCTGGCGGAAGGGAGAGCGTCGGTAGTGGTTGCAGCACATGTTTCAAGTATGTTTCGGCGACGATGGAAACGCGGTAGGAGCAGATTAGGGGTTGGTACTCGCGGTGATAAGATCGGGAATTACCTGGTGGTGACGAGAGAAGCTACTGGGTTCTCGGATATTTTATCATCGATTGGTATCGAAAGCATCATACGGATATCGTTGTCACGATATCGGCATGTTCGTTGTTACATTATCTTCGTTATCGTAATGCACGTGTACGCACATGTGTATGATATTTACGATACTGTCATGTTTATTAATATTTTCGGTATTATATTGTCTTCGTCGTAGCATGACACACACGTATAATATTCTACGCAGGACTCTGTTATGTTTATCATCATGTTTGTTGTCACACTGTTTTCATCACGATATGGCACTCATATACATATAGTATTATATAAATGACACTGTTGTGTTTATGATCACCTTCGTCATCATATGATACACATATACAAATACACACATTTATTATATTACATTGTGTATATAATAATATCTTCATCACAATATGCCACAAGTATGTGTGTACATGTAACTCATCGTGGAACAATAAACATAATAATAATAATAAGCATCCCCGTTGCATTTGTGACTAGATCCTGAGGATTCCACTCGCGGAAGCGCGGCAGGCGTCGTTCCATTAGAATGTGCAAACAGTGCACTCGACCGCGCACGGAGGCACAAGTAATATCTATCATATTATCGTGGATCCCCCGGTCGAATTACCGGGGAAAGCCCGGTAGATTGCACGGTGCAACCACTGCTCGTCCAAGAAAACACCGTCGTTATTCAATCATGGCGGTATCTATCGCAGCCTATCGCACGAAAACCGCGTCTCCTTCACGATCCGCTAGCGGCACGGTTACTGACTCCGCGTAATAACGGGAATGATCGACCATGTACTGTTTCGCCTGGAACTGCTTATAGAATCCATCTGAATATAAATTATACATGTATATCATGTATATTTGTAATGTCCGCGCCTCCCATACCCAACAATAAGGAGTCAAATAAGAACACGAAACGTAAGGGTACAGGATTGGTCGCGTAGGTAAAGCGCTCGACTGTGGATCCGAGGATCGCGGGTTCGAATCCCCGTGCCTTATTTTTCCTTTAGACTCTTACATATTCGAGTATATTGTATATACACGATGGGAGTACTAATTGTTTAAACTAATTGTTTAAATTATAGTTCCTCCTGAAGCGATTTGAATACCTCACCCCCATGGTCCATAATACTAACCATGAATCTTCCACCCCTTCCTAAACCCACCCTGTGACAATATTTCCTTCTTCACCACCGATCCCATAGACAATCGACTTTCTTATCGCACCGTTACCGTTTCCTATAAATTGATAATAAATTCCCAATAAATTCCACCTGCAAACCTCCCTGGATCTTCCACCCCTTCCTAAATCCTCCCCGTTACAATATTTCCTTCTTCGCCACCGATCCCACAGACAATCGACTTTCTTATCGCACCATCTCCGTTTCCTATAAATTGATAATAAATTCCCAATAAATTCCCAATAAATTCCACCTGCAAACCTCCCTGGATCTTCCACCCCTTCCTAAATCCTCCCCGTTACAATATTTCCTTCTTCGCCACCGATCCCACATACAACCGACTTTCTTATCGCACCGTCACCGTTTCCTATGAATTGATAATAAATTCCCAATAAATTCCACCGCGGGTCGCATCGTTGGCGCGAAAAGTGCGCCGTCGACGGTGCGCGACGCACGTGCATTCGCGGGCACGCACCGCGAGTGGATAAGGAGTAACAAGACGGACTCTCTCGGAGAGTAGGGAGAGTAGCCGCGAGGGTGTACGGGAGTGGGGTCCGAGTAGCGCGGTTGTTGGTGGGGAGAGGAACTACGCGATCGGCCACCAGGGGGTTGGCGGAGGGAGCCCGCGTCGACGAGCGGTTATTTCAAGCGACGACTCTTCTGGCACTTCGCCCCGAGCTTTCCTCGAGCGCATCCTCTCGCCTCGAAGCGCGTAGTTGTGTCAGTGTAGCCGCGACGGCAGCCACAGTCAGTTGTCGATACGGAAAACGCGCCGACTCGGGTGCACAGGGTTAGGTCTGGGTTAGGTCCGAACGATCGAGGAATTCGAGCGTTTTATCGAGGTTCGAGGACCACGGTGACGCGCAGGATAACGCGCGCAGGAACCTTTCGATCGGTGATCTCGAGTGTGTAACAGTGACGGGGGTGATCCTTTTCGGGGGGTTGGACAGGTGTAGTGTCGCAACCGGTGAACGGACACGTGCCCTGCTCTACGTACGCTCCTCTGACGGGTTACACACGGAGGATCTCGAGTGTCGGTTTCTCGTCAGGTGTTCCGGAGGATGGGGCCCGCGGAGGAGAGGAGCTGAGGATTTATAGCGACGCCTGAAATAACTGGAATGCGCGCGCGGTGAATCAGCATCCTCCGCGAGTGAATTTCCCTGACAGAGGCCACGCGATCCCGGGTTTCGACGTTGTGGATATTTCTTTTATTTCCGTGTGCCCGTGCGTCGACCTAGCTGCCTACGGGTTGGTACCAGCGGTGATCGATCCCGCCCTCCTGCGCGCCCGCGGCGAGGGATTGAGAAAAGCCAGAGCCGCCAGAAACCCGCGCGCGGTGGAAAGGGGCCTCCTCGAGACGTCCAAGAGCTTTTCTCGGAAAGGAGATCGCGACTGGTGAGTACCGGCGTGTTGTTGCTTCCTTGCCAGGCCTGAGGTTACATCTGCGTAAAACCATGTTTGTCGATCGATTAGGGGAGGGTAGGTTCGGTGACTCGGAGGGGCCCTTTGTTCGAAAGGGGGTAGAGTGCTTACTCGCAGCCTTGCCAATTTGAGGATTCGATGAGGGTTGATGTTCGATGTTTGATACTTGAGACTGAGGATGGAGGATGTATGGAAGATGTTTCGGTACCAAGTTCTGTTGCGGGAGGCTCGAGAAGGGGATTCTTGGTTCTGTTAGGCTTCGAGTAGCGTCAGTTCTGATTATTCTAGCGTTGAGCTCCATCTGGAGTGGTTTCTGTTATTCTACAAGGAGACTTGAAGTATATGATTCTTAGTTCTTTCAGGCTTTGAGTAGTATCTAAATCCTGATTATTCTACCTTTGAGTCCATCTAGAGTGTTTTCAATT